TGTGATCTACGGAAATGATTTTAATAGACTTAAAAAAAACTTTTAAAACTATGTATTCGTATTTGTATTCAATTCCTTTCGAAAGACGCCGTATTCGAATAGGTATATTTAAAGTACAATTGACACCAAGTATTTAAATACTTGGTAATCGAAATACATTTGAAAAGTAGGTATTCCTAACAAGACTGATATTATTAGAGTAGGTACTGCAAAGTGCAAATACTATAGAAATATAATTGTCATAAAGTTCAAATACATATCTATTTTAATAGAAATTACAGTCGACTTTTAAATCTATTACTATGACAGTCAAAGAAAATCTGGTATTTATTTATTTTTTTAAGACTGTTATATATGTACACTGTAAAAAATGTTGTTAAATTTCAACTAACGTCACCATGTAAATTTACCCATGATATGTAAGTTCATTAATTTTGCATATAAAAGTAGGTACATTTATCACAAGTATTGAAGTACATAATATTCATGCTCATTTCTGTGTAAATTTCGACTGAAAGTGTTATGTAAATATACAGGTGTTATCAAAATATATTCATTCTGTGTGTAAAATGTTAGTAAATTTGTTACAACTATATATGTAAATAAAGAAAATTACAAACATTTCTGTGTAAATTTTAACTTCTGAAATACATTGAAACCTCATCTGACAAAATTCTAATAAGCGGACACCTCCAAAAAGTGGACAAAATGACAGTGCCCTAGTGTCTGCTATTTAGAGGTTTTACTGTATATGTTACATAATACATAATATACTTTCTTGAATATATGCGTCGGAGGGTTCGATTTTTTTTCGAATTTCGCAAATTCGATGTCCGATTATATAAATTATATAAATTATTAACTGTTTGTAATAAGAACAGAAGTTATAAATATCACCTACAAATAATTATATTGTAAACGATTTGCTGTTTTGCAACAATGATTATACGAATGGTGGGTTTCTGGGGAAATACAGTTTTATGAAAATATTTAGTATTTATTTAAATAAATAAATATATTTTTGTTTTTAAGTTTAAAACTATTGTATTAACACTACAGGCAGACATTCTCTTGAAAGAAAAATGGAATGGAAAGTTTTTATACATAAATACACAATTCATTATACATAATCTTCATGGAGGATTGCTGGATTTGTTATTGTGTATGTTAAGGAGTTCAGTATAGGCAATATTTAAAGTGCATAGTAGTATGTAGTAAATGATTATTATTTTTTTTTTTTATACTACTTTATAGTAGTATATAGATGAATTTTAATTATTTTTCTGTAAAACCATTGACACGATGCTTCCTAAGATACAAATGTGTTTCAAGTACCTACACACCAATCGATCTAATAATACGATAATACTTCTGAATTCACTATTATTTCTAATTTATTTTTTCAGTTTGATCAGTCCTATTTTTTAAGATTACTGATTTGCATTCTGAATAATCAACACTTGAAATTTCTTAAATTTTTAAATATTCGAAAATCCAGTTAATATTAGATGGGGAATTTATAGGGGACTGATTGATCTCAAGTACTCATAAACGTAATAACAAATTAAAATCAGTTGTAAAAAGTCATATCACTATGTTTTTTGGAAAGGCCATAACTGGAGATTAGTGGTCCAAACCCCTCCCCACCAAGTAATTTTTAAAATAGAACAATTTTAGCTGTGGATATTGTTTAATGCTTATTATATCACAATAATTTTAAATTGTTGTTAAAGCAGAGTAATAACAAGCATAAAGAGTTTTTATTATTTTGAACTTAAAAATGATTATCATTGGATTCATATTAAAAACATGTTTGACATCCCGACCTAAATTTGTTTTCATTTACAGAATTGTTGATTGGTATGGTTGACACGATATTGGAACGTTTTGGTTAAAATAACTGACCACTACCTAAAATCAACGACATTTTCAAATAGTTATGAAACGTTCTTTTGTGCGATTACTAATTTTAGTGCCTTCACAGGCAATTTTAAACCAACTGAAACTGTTTCTGACGACGATTTTATTGTATGTATTTTATTCCTTTTTTTATAAGTATGTACCTAAAAGGTTTTTTTTAAATACCTACAATACCATTTTAAATAATTCGAAAGTTGTGCACATATTATTATATTACAGAGAAGTCTGTGATGGTTATATGATATTTGGGGGAGGGAGTGGTGGTTTCAAATCTGTGGTGGGATGGGATGGTAGAAGTGAGGTGACAACAACGGTCTACGTTTGTAAGAACTGCACGCCTGAAATGTATGGAACTGGGTATATAATATGTGTTTTCGTTTCTATAACAGCATGCTATTAAGTTATCCCACTTACAGTCCAAACCCAAATGAATAAGGGATAATAATATTTATTGGTAAACGGACCCTTTGTAATATCTATTGTTTGAGAACAATAGCTCATAACAGGGTAGAATGGAGGCAGATCATGATGGAGGTGAAAAAACTTCAAGAGTAATAAATGCCAGCAAAAGAAGAAGAAGAAGATAATATTATTACGATTATACTTTTTCGTTTTAACAACTATATTGTTTGACGGGCATACGTAAACTGCGCCCAAATTGTTATCCTTGTTAAAAAGGTATAATTTACCTTTTGTTAATAATTTACCACCCCGTTTGTAAATTATACAAAACTTTTAACTTATTAAAGTAAATCCATGATTGTGTACTTTTTCTATCAAAACGTATAAAAATACCAATACGTTATCGAATAACTATTGCGGTATACGATAACTGATGATTATCACTACATCTAGCATAGGTCTGATAGTACCTATCGTATTCATTTTAATCAGTGAAGTCACGATGGCCGAAAAATTTGTATCACAGCTCGAAAAGAGCTTGAAAATAATTTCAAAATTTAAATTTTGTTAAATAAATCGGCCTCTAAGTTCAGTTGAGTTTAAATGGTGATGTACAGTCAAAACTTGTACAGCATTTTTAAAAACGCTTATAATAAAAATATGTCTGTAATAAACCAAGTATAAATAAGAGATGTTATTTTTTGTCTCAATATTAAGGTACTTTTTAAAATTATATAATTATTTTGATTTTTAATTTTATTTTATTAACTATTCATATTATAATATGCCTGTAATGAACCAAGTATAAATAAGAATTTGTAATTTTGTCTACTTTTGCAAAAATATAGCTCTTCATTTTTAAAATTTTACCCTTGAGCAGTTTAAATGTCCCCTTTTTACACTTGATAAAAACTCGGACGCAGTTTACTTGTGTGATTTTGTGTTTACCTGTACCTTGGGCGCAGTTTACAATCGCCGTGTTTGACAAAAAAATTGTTATCATCGTTATTATTTCTGAAATCTGTGGGATTTGGGGAGTTAAAAGTATCACGCAATATTATCGTCAAAATAATATGTATTCCAAACATTTAGTCATCAATTTAATTCAACTCCAATAGTCTCTGATACGGCGTCTTAGATATGCAATTTCACTACATCACTGTCGATAAGCATTATTATTAATTATTATGCATTTAATAGGTATTATAACAATATAATAGTTATTCAATATTATTATTTATAGTTATACAAGCAATGTGTTATCATACTTCGTTTTTTATGTTTCGTTTAAAAACAAATAGTTCATCCAAATACACTTTTAAAAAAATCCCTAAAAACAACCTATAAAAACACAATATTATAATATTTCCAAACTTTTTAATTTATTTATAACAAGTGCTGTTAAGTGCACCATAATCAACACCACACTTTAAATTTCCATTAAATATGTTGTATTGTATTTCATCTTTAAGAACCACATTTCATGTATAATGCTGACTGCAAAGTAAAATATCAAAAATTGACTTAAGTAATATTTGAGTCAAGCTAAATAATTGTACATAGAATATAATAAATCTTTTAAATAGTTTATGAATCTAAGAGAAAATGTTTGTATACCACCGGAGTACTAAAATATTTTATAACTATATGGAATAATTTCTGTTATTTTTAAGAATAATAGATGACTATTATTTACAATTAAAATTTCTAATTTCTTTACCAAAGATGTCACCACATTATAAGAGAAATATATTATTATATTATATGAAAGTAAAAATATATATACATTTTTTTACACATACTCGTTTTTACACACGTGGAATTTTTTTCCCGCGATTAAAATGATTTTAGAGAAAAATTGGTTAAAGGTAAAACTGTAAAAGTTATTAAAGAACATTTATCAAAAGGTTATACATTTCTAGAGATAGTCATATTATTTTTATTGTATTACAATTTTTGTCAGGGTGCTTATAGGAAAGACAAAAAAAAAGAATTTTAAATATCAAACATAAATAGGTTATTATACATAGGTATTTATGTTTAATAATATTATAATCCATTATAATGTAATAACAAATGTGTTATTTTAATTTATAATATAAGAACTAAAATAAATATGTAAAAAAACTTTAAAATAAAATATATTCATTCAAATAAAGATAGGTGGGTACACAAAATTGAATAGAAGTATAGTAGGTTTTATACGACTATTAAACTAACAACTTACATATTATTATTATTTTTATGTACTATATTATGAATTATAATATTTAATTTATTAAAATAAGAAATACATTACATGAATCACCGGTTTTGAAAACCAATATAAAATAATCCATTTTCTTCAGGATAACTTTATTCACTTTAGTATAAAACACACTCAATAAAGAATACATTATTACATTCTTTTACCTACCTATGACATAATCACTGTAAAACTATTGAAAATAGTTGCTAAAAAAAAATGGTTATATTCAAATTAAAAAAAAGTATAATTTAAATAAAAATCAAGAATATATGATGATAAAGGTACAACTTTTTTGTCTTAAATGATTAAATATTGAATAAAATGATTAGTATTCTGGAACACATAAATATTTACAAGAATACCTATACTGCTTTTGACATTATTTCAAACAAATCTCAATAAAACAAAGATACAATAAAAGTAGTATAATTTAAATTGTGCTATTTGGTAACGCCCCATTGATATCATCTATGTTGGTATTTGAATCATCATCTAGTGTATTTTCGTCACTAGAAGAACTACGAATGTCTCCATCCATCTGAAATCAAATAATATTTTGATTAAATACAAACATTAAAGAAATGAGTGATTGTGAAAAATACTGTATAACTACATACTATTCCAGAATTCCACGAAAGATATGCAATTCTCAACATTAAGTGTGTCCAATAAAGATGGAGACCAAGTAAAAGAAACAATAGTCTATTGAATATGTAATAAGCTGGGAACATTTGGTTTACCACTTGGGGCGCATTGACTGATGTACTATAGTCAAAATATAAACAAAAATTATGATTAATATTAATTATTACAGACATATTTAGAACAACTAATATAAGACTAACCTGTACGAAATCCAAAAAGGGAATAGACCAATTCTGGTTAACAGCCAGACAAAAATGAATACTACTGAAATTAAGTCACATTATTTTTGATGTTTGGCATATTTGGCCATCTTTGCAAACTATAATAAAAAATTACTGATTAAAATACATAGGTATTTAAAAATAAAATTAAAGTCAGTAACAAATTGTTTTAATAGTAGTATCATACATGTATAAATATTTTTTAATAGCTATTTCAAAAGTTTGATGTAATTTAATCAGATGTCATTCATATTATGTAACTTAGGTGAAACTACCTATATTATTTTTGTCATGTATACTGTTGGCAATTAAATTCATATTTTCACCAGATTGCTACAGATATATACCTGAACTTCACGTATTTCATTTTACCGATAGATAATGTAAATTGGCATCACTTCATATTCCCTTTACTACTATCTTTTATATACTTGAGTCTTTAAAAATAATAGTCAGTATAACAATAAAATGACTGAACAATTTCTCTATGAGCCTCTATTTAAGCTTTAATATTAAATTTATTCACTATATAAAATAATATATTGAGTTGTACTTAATAAAAAATTATATTTAAACTAATTATGTATGTAATTCCAAATTATTGATTTGTATGACGTACTTAGTAATAGTCATTATTTCATAGTAGATATTATACCATTGAATTCTTCAGAACTGTTTTACAAAACGAAACACCAGTTGGTTATCTTTATTTCTCAACACATATAAAATGCAATGTTCACAAGGTAGATAAGGGCGGCGGAGGGTATTTAACAAAATAGATAGAAACCAAGAGTATAATATGTTTGTAAGGAATGTATTTTTTAATTAATCTATTAAAAAGAAATCATGAATATTCAATTTGTAACAGCATAATATTATAGTTCATAATATTAATTAACAATTTTGTATGAGGTAATACTCAGAAAAGAAGATGTTATGAATGTGATGGCCTCAGAAATGTTATTTCATTTGTTTAATATTCGATAAATAATATAATTTAATTCCAATAATACATGAGCCTGATATACTTTATGTCACATAGATAACAGGCCATGTTTGAACCTCTCTTAATAATGTGTTATAACCAATAATAATTGCAAGCACATCATAATATATAACTCACTATGGTAGGATAGTTGCTTTAATTTTTAAATGATATCCTAATCATAAATATTTAAAATCGGTAGGAATTAAAACTGGCCAATTTTGGTATATCATTTTCAAAATAAGTGTTGAATATTTTTGTTTTATATTTTTGTAATATCCTAAAAATCACAATATTATATTGTCGATGTTAAAATATTTATTTTTTTAAAATACAACAGTGAATATTATAATGTATAGTCTTTGTTTTAGTCGATTACATTGATATGAACCTATAACCTTATGGAAAAGGATTATCTTTATTATTTGACCTATGATTCTGAGACATTTAAAATGTGTTTTTAAACTCTATTTCTTTAATTTTGTAATTATTATTAATATTATTATTTAACTTTTATTTTATTTTATTTGATAATACATTTATACGCAATAGGAAAAATAATATTATTTATTACCTCAAGGAAAATATCACCACAATCATGTATTAAAAGCACAAGAGTCCCAATTCTATGGAAATTACATATCCATGAAAAAGATAACAAGCATATAGTACATATATGATGGACAATCATTTGCCAAAAATCTTTTCGTTTGACATCAAAAAATTGAGAAACAGCTAATGCCCAATAAGATGTTAATGACATCATATAGTACCACCATGTGTCTCTTGTGACACCCTGTAAAGAAAGTAAAAAATGTATTAAAAAATATGATATTAATTATACTGACAACTATTTGAATTGGTATATTAATTATACCCAATGGAATAAAGGATTTTTACCTTGTGTGGATATGCCAACAATAATCTATATTCAATAACCATGGTTCATTCCATAAGAACACAAGACCATAGTGGAATGACAATGTGTAATAGAAACATCGCAAACTGAAAAAGGATATAATCAAAACATTTTTTAAGCAAAAAATAATAAAATATATAAATATTCAATATAAATCTAATATGAAATGCTCATTTTATTAGTTGGGTAAAAATTAAAACATTAATATTTTTAGTGTAATAATTAGTAATATTGTACTAGGTACCTAGTATATAAATTATAAATCCATAAATACTGAATCACTATTTTCTATTAACTTACAATAATTTTTAATAATGGACAAGAAAAGGGATACTGTTTTTATAATGGAGTTGAGAAAACCTTTTTTAGGATGCTATTTAAGGAGTTTGATATTGGAAATTCAATGTATTTTTGAAAAAATAGCTTCTTATTAATGTCATGTAACATGACAACAATTAAAACATTATTATTTTTAATATTTATTTTTTTTAAATATTTATTTAACTCAGTCTTCTTATTCTTCTTCTTCTTCTTCTTCTTCTTCTTCTTCTTTTTATTCTTCTTCTTCACAGCTTAGCTGACCATGTAGACCAGGGATGGCCAACCCGTGGCCCGCCTTGGAATGTTCGACATTTATCAAATATTTACAAAAAAAAAATTATTTTTGTGCCGATAGAATATTCTGGAATGCCCACGCAACGTGGTTTCTGTATTATTAACAACGTAATCGCAACAAAAGTAATAATTCTAATTTAATCTGATAAAATATATACGAGTAGACACCAGCTTATACTTTTGAAAGTAGTTTCACAAATTTAGACGAATACAAGACAATATTTGAAATATATTCATCTCTTTTTCATACTGATGTTTATTCAGCCCCAGAATATCTTCAAATGGAACTTATAGACTTGCAATGCAATAATGAATTAAAACACATTTTTGAAACATTAAAATCAAAAATAGATTTTTATAATATTAATATCACAATTTGAGAAATCTGGGACAAAAAGTTGTGAGTGCTTTTGGATTACACTTTTGAATCGTTTTTTTTGAAAATTAAATTCGCCAAAGATAAATCACGCTCAAACCTAACAGATGAAAACCTGCAACATCAATTACGGTGAGCAAATACAAGCATTTCTATTGATTTAAAAAAGCTTAGTGAACGAGTTGAGAAACAAATATCTCACTAAATAGTAATGTTTACTCCTTTTTTTTGTATTAAATACTTTTATATATTTTAATTTTTTTTAAATACGTTTATAATTTTATATGTTGCCTAATTTTGAATAAAAAAATATAAAAATATGTGATTACAATAATATTTTGGTTGATGACCTAATGACCTTTTTTTTTTTTTACAACCCTATATGTGGCCCCCAGGATTGTAATTTATTTAAAAAGTGGCCCGCAAGATCATTTAGGTTGGCCATTCCTGATGTAGACACATCGTTGCCACCACTATTTCCTTCCATCGGTCCGTATCATTCACATCCTCCAATTTCATGTTTTCATAGATCATTCTTAAATCTTTTTCTATTACGTCCTTCCATCCCTTTCGAGGTCTTCTTAAAGGTCATTTCCCCACAATTTTTCCTTCCGTAACTCGTTTTATAGTCTTTCCCACTGCCCTCCAAACATATCCAGCCCACTCCATCCTCCTGCCACTGATATATGACAGGATATTACGTTTTAAATACAAATTTTGTAATTCATTATTGTGTCAGTAAATCTTATTAATAGATATGACAGACAGTTTAAAAATAAAACTGTAGACATATTAACTTCTATAATCTGAGAATAAATACATTAGTATCAATTAATTGTTTTGTAGTTATCACTAATTACTAATTAGGAGTTTAGAATTCAAATGTAATCAATCAAAAGTATTTATACTTAAATAAATATTAACAATTATTTTTTAAATGATAATTATCATAATTTAATTAAAAGTAAATACAAAATAACATAAGATGAGTTATGACGCATTTAAGTATCTACATTCATTTTTTTGAAATAACAGTTAATTAATTATAGTTGCACAATTCATTTAATTTTTTGAATCACAACATGACAACGCTTTTAAGTAAAATTCATACTGGAAGTTTTTATGAACAATAAATATATATATTATATATCAAAAAAATAATTAGGTGGGTAATCATTGTTCTAAAATAATGAACTGAACGTCATAACCACCATCATTAACCAAATAGTTATGATTGAAAACAGATATAATCAAATCAAAAATACTAATATTTATTAACATATCTTAAAACTTTATGTTCTTCATTTTTATGAAGAAATTATAAAACTATAGAAAAATAAACTAAATATATAAAAGGTTACCTATAATATAAGTTAAAATACAATTAGTTGACAGGAAATAACTAAATAATATAATAATAAACTTAATTAATATATAATATAAGGTCTAATTACACTCAGAGAAAAATACAGCTTGGTTTTAAGCTTTAAATTTCTTCATTACTCCTTTAAATTAAATACATACAGATATTGTAATATCAAATAAATAATTCATAAAAGTTAATACAATAGATTTAATATTAAGATATTAGTTTAAATTCAATGAATATCAAGCGTCGTAAAATTAATGTAATCGTATTAATTCTATTAAAATATTTTATTTAAAATAATTAATAAATAATAGTAAAAATAATTCTTCCTCTTTTAAAAATAATATAAATTTTCGTTATATTTATGGATAGGTAATTTCATTAAATTAATGAATAGTGTAACTTTAAATTAATGTAGTAAGTTTAATGAAAAATAATTAAATTAAATAATATATAAGTTAAAATTAATAACGCATACAGTATTTAAAATAATACTGTAACTTCTATTGTATTAAACATATTTTCATTAATAGTATAAACATAATCCATTAAAGTAAGAAATTACGTATTTAATTTAAGGACGATATCCATTAAATCAAATACCGCGGTATTTATATTGCGGGAATTCCAAATAGTGTTTACATTACTCCGCCTATTATAAATCTATAACCCTAAACATTTTTGTCATAGACTATAGTGTCGCTCGTTTATAATTCGTTTCATATTCACATGACGTTATTCTGTTTCTGTATTCACTTTTTTTCGTTGTTTGACAACATAGTCTTACAAAATACAAACTGTCATAGTGTCATTAAGTTGCACATCGAATATTATAACGATTGTATCTTCGAGCTTAAAAAATAAAGTGTTTTGGTTTCATTTTTAATCGTCATTCGTTATGTCAAGCGATCAACCAACCCCAAACATTGTTGGTTTTGGTGATGATGATATTCAGGTGGACGGAAACACTGCACTCTTATTAGAAAAACTGATAGATCTTAAAGGCGAATGTTTTATCAACATATTTATAGGTAAGTATTGTCTAGTTTGTTAGTTAATTCTCCCAAATATTAGGTATATTATTAATCATTTAATAAATTGTATATATTTTGTATAAATGTTGTGTAGACTGTGGAATTAATGTTGAAAGTCTACAGTACATGAACACTGAACATTTGAACACACTTTGTCCGTCCCAGAATTTTGGGCAACGTATGATCTTTGAACATCACTTGAAAAAATGGCAGGCAAGTTGCTTATTTGCCTACTTTTTTTAATAATAGTAATACTTAAAATATATTTTTAGTCATAGGTAGGGTTAGGATGTTTATGACCTTAAAAACACATGTAAATATTCTCAATAAATATGATAAATTCTATAATAGTTAAAAAAATATTTATTTCAGGAACAAATTGATACCAGCAGCTCTATAAATTCAATTAAATCTGTTTCGTGTAGTTCAAGCTCATCATCAGTGTCTATGGATATAGATATGGTAAATATATATGGTATACTCAAATACTTTTATAAATGTTGAATGGATAGGTAGGTTAAGGGAAAACTGGGAAAAAACTAATAATTTAATTTAATTTAAAAAAAAAAAATAGTTTGATGTAGAAAGTATACTGAAGAAATCACCCAAAGGAAATATTGTGCTAAGTTATTTTAATAAAAATAATATACTGTCTGAAGCTTGTAGAAAAAATATTGTTGAAACTATTGTTGAGCACTTAATTGAAAATAAAATACATGGTTCCCCAAAATGTATGGAAAATATTGCTGATAGTATTGTTAAATTGTTCAATGTTGAAGTAAAGGTGTGTGTATAAAAATATATTTATTTATGAAACTTGTAAAAATTAGTTATTCAGTAATAAGCTTAATTCATAAATTTGTTACCTACATTTAGGAAGCATATTTCATAAATGTTCCAAAGAAAAAACCTAAAGGCATGTTATATCACGGTGCATCCGAATTGCATGCCAAAAAAATAAATATAAATCGGGTCGTCCAAATTGCATGCCGTCTCTTGGAGGGGTCTGTCCGAATTGCATGCCGTCTCTTGGAGGGGTCTGTCCGAATTGCATGCCATCTATTAGAGGGGTATATCCGAATACATAACTTACTTTTCAACTGGAGGATCGGGATTTTGTTACATTACAATAAAACATATAAATATTGTAGAAGGTGACACTGTGACTAAGAATCATAAAAATATAAAATTATTTTTTTTTCATCGACAACAAAGGCCATTAGTTAAATAAAACTATTGTAGTTTAGAGTAATGAAGTGAGTGTATTTTAAATAATATTATTTTTAAATTTGGTGGTTTTTTTTGACATTTCGGGCAAACAATATTACAATTTAAATAAACAAAATAATATATAATAATAATTCATAATAATAAAATATTATTAATCTGTTGTGAAACAGACCGAGACTACAATACACTACATTACTCCAATATAGATATACTGTTTGGGAAAATATTTACACGGATATAAAAATATTTCAATCCAGAAACTAATCACTAAACAGTTGTAACAACCATACATAAAAGAGCGTTTCTATACATGCATTTTTTTTAAAAAATTAGGAAAGTCCAAAAAAAAGTTTAAGTTGTTTAAGTGCATAGTAAATAAACGTGTGGTGTACGGCATGC